CCTCGCTCTGCGGGAAGCCTGCTTCTCCCTCTCCCGCTCCCCCTGCTTGTGTTCCCTCTCTCGCTGTGTCTCTATCAAATAAATAAATAAAATCTTTAAAAAAAATAAATAAATAAAAACAGCCTGTAGGAAGGCCTGCTCACCTAAAATTGCCTTACTTCATATTTGTCCCTTTCTTTTTCGGGGAAGCTGGATAAGCAATTTTGTGAAAGGGGAAGGAGGTCACAAGCAATACAATGATAATAACTTCCTGATTGAGGGGGCTGAGCTGCTCCTTTCCAAGAAGGAAAGTTTCCTTCAAGAATCTAACAACTTGGGGAAAACAAACTAACATTTAGTTTCATTATTAAGCTAAATAATGAACTCTACTGAGAGCTTACTTACCTCATTTGTTTTGCTATGTGATGTACATACACTTACCCTAATTTTACCATTGAGAAACCTGAGGATTAGAGTTTCTAGACAACTTGCCCCAGTCATATTACTGGTAATGTCTGACATCAGCGCCTTTGGCATTTTGCCCTTTGCTTAGAAATAAAAATGGAGCCAATTAACACAATACATCCTCACTTTGAAAGTCCTACATATTCTCCGTATATCTGATGTTCAGCTATTTTTTTTTTTTGTATATTTTTTCCAAAGTAACCATTAGCTACAATAAAGTAGGAGCTACCCGTAGGGCTTGGAATTAAATGAATTTTGATGACTTACTTTGCATCTTTTACACACTGCATTACTAATCTGTATCAGTACTAATTGTAGCTACGAATTAGTGAATTCTTATTATATTCCAGGCCCTTTACATATATTGTCTCTAATCCTCAGAACAATTCTGCAAGGCACTAGGCTCGGAGAGGTTAAGTAACTTGCTCACATTTGTGCAGCTAGGACGTGGCAATGCAGCCATGTAAACACCAGAATCCATGTTCTTTCTGTTAGGTCAAGGCTGAACAAAGTCTCCCAATGAGGCTCTGGCCCCAGGGCCCCACCCACCCTGACTGCCAGACAGAAAGAAGGTGGTGGCAGGTGCCAGGGGAAAGGAGGGTCTCTGATTCTCAGGCAGAACAACCCAAGGTGAACTCAGAAGACATTTTTCTTCTGGCAGGTTGTTAGGTTTTTATTACTATTATTTTTTTTACCTGATCCTGGAACAAAGCAGTTTACAGATTATAAAATAAAAAAGAGCCAGAGTTCCAAATTACAGACAAAACAAGCTTTTGGAATACAACTCAAATGTAGGCTGGGTACTGGCTGTTTTGAAACAAAGGTCTTAAAGTGGTGCTTTCACCTACTTATATTGGGCTGCAGCTTCATTTCAGGATCAACCAATACCACTGCTGGTTTTCTCTGATTACATGTAATATCAACTTGCAACTGCATTTACAAAATGGCAATTCAAAATCCAGAGAAACCTGTCTTTCAGAGATACTTTAGGAAGAATGATTTGCACTAAATGGATGAGGCCTTCCTGCAACCATTAAATAACCTATCTTAACTTGGGTATTGGTACATAGTAACCTTATTTCAATCTCTTTCTGCAAATAGGAAACTGGATAAATTGCCATTTTTCAATGTTTATTTATAGAGCTGTGAACACTGACCTATTTTTCCACCTATATTAAAATAGTCCTGAAAATCTAAAAGTTCTAAAATAATAATAAAAAAGAACTTAAATCAAATATGAAACTCAGGAACTAGTTAATCACAACAAAAATTTAAAGTTGGTCAGATTTTTCCCTTCTCCTTCCAAATTAAATTTTCAAATGAGAAGTTTCCCCATTGGATCAACTGAAGTTCTAAATACCAGGTACCCATTTGGGATTTGACTTTCCCTAGTCATAAATGGAACTGACTCATCACCAGTTAATTGCATACATGCCCTGTGTACGTTTGTGTGTAAAGTCTACAGGTAGGTGTATAGGGAATAAAGTAGAGCAAGCCTCATGCTGCTATAACCACATTTTCTGCTTAGTGTCTCTTGGGACCAAGGGCACCCATTTTTAAGACAGTAGGTCTGAGATTAATCTAGTTTTGTTTTTTTATCTCAAAGTATATGTGAGGATGGGGGATAGGGAGTCAGAAAAGAAAAAGGCAGATTCTTGGCCTTTCCGGCTACATCAGAACCTCAGAGTCAGGCCAAGATTTTGAATTTTCCCAGGTGCTCAGGATGGTCCTTTTGCACATTAAAGTTCAAAATCAGCAAAAAAAAAA